CCCCACATACTTGGTTAACTCATTATAGGCCACTGGCTGGACAGCTGTGATCTAGGATACACAAAGACAGGACTCACTAGTGAGATAAGAACAGTACTGGCTACAGAAAAATTAGCTTAGGGAAGTGTAACCCTACTGGAGGCATACCACCTTCAAATTTAATTTGTATTTTCACAGAGAAACAAATCAAAGAGATTGTATCAAAGAGCCTGGATTATTATGTATTGTTTGTGTTTTGCTTTTGCTTGCTTTCTTTCTCTATTATTCAAACAGTTAAGTGTGATTATTTGCTTTCCTTTAATCTTGTACCCCCTAGCACAGCAACAACACTGTGACTAAAACAGCAGGAGGCACATCCATAAATTGGAATTAAGACAGAATTAAGATGTAGCCTGCCATTAGTAATTTGGGAGAGAAAAATACTTTATGCTCATACTGGAAAACATCTCTTTCTATCTTACTGAGAGGAAGAGAAGAGACGTTTATACACTTACCATGAAAACACAAAGTCACTCTATTTGGTTGCAAAAACTTCTTTAAAATACTACTTTTTTATTATTTTTAGCTCATACAAGTTAAGAACTAAAGGGAATAACAAAAAAAAATTTTGGAGAATGGCAAGAAGGAAAGAAAATCTAGCTTTCAAAGTGGGAAACTGAGGGCAAGGAAGGGAGACAGTCAGGAGAAAGAAGCAAGGATGTAAGAAAGACAAGAAGGATGAAATACAAGATGAGTACATGGCAGCAATTCCTAGCAGTAATTACACATCAGGGAGATAGCAGGCTATTAGGTACAAGTGATATCAGAGTCGTGGTGAAAAGATCAGTTACTTAGAATGCAAATGACATCTGTTCTGATGTATTTAATCCACTTGTGAAATACATTAAACTAAACTGCAAAAAGGCATTCATACCATAGAATAAGGACATCCAGATAAGGAGTTACTGTAGAATAACTACTGTATACTGTAGTCAGTCTCTAGCTCATGCAGCTAGGATTAAGAATTCAAGTTAGCTCATGATATAAACATATTCTGTTGTTTTTCTATTCTGTTTTAAGGAAAAATAGGAGTGAATTACTTCTGCAGTCTTCATTAAAGGGGAGTTGGACATAAGGTGGCAATGGAATCTCAAGGGAGCATCAAAAATCATCATTATTCAGCAGTAGTGCTGACACTGTACCTGTCAAATACTGACAATATATTTTTCTAGATGCTTTAAAATAAACACAAGTTTTACAGAAATATATAATGTCAGAAACAGCTTGCTTTACTTCTGTGACCTGTGTAGTTTCATGTCATATCTCATTACATCACTTATGTTATATTATGTCAGATTTGACAGAATGCAATGTGGTATGACACTACCTAAATCAAAGTAACATAATGCAATATGACACATCTGGGCAGGCATGGAAGAAAGTGACTTCTTTTTCAAACTGGTTTGCTTGTCTAATTTCTATAGCATCTTCCCCCTGCCACTATTCACCCACAAAAAAAAATTCACACTTTGACTGATAACCAAATATAACTGCTGCCAAAGCAAAACTCTCTTATATCTATCTACACAGCTGACTTCAAATTACTTTGTGTATGTCTCTAGTGGGTTATGGAATAGAGAAAATCCCACACAATTTACTGATTCCTTTTGATGCACTGGCTGGGGGAGTAGTTAGCTGATTGTGAAATCGTGCAATGATTACACACTTAATTTATACAACACAATTTTATTTTAAAACTCTTTGCTACGTATATAACACTGCTTAGCTTTAAGAAACACCACAAACATTAAAAACACAATAATTACATATATCAGAAACAATGCTCCGAATGCACTTCCTTCCCAAACGATGCTATAAGAATTAGTGTTACAAAAACAACTACAATTACAACTAAAAGTTAAATTTGAATCAATACTATTATTTTTCATGATATACTTACAATCCTAGAATTCCAAGAAGCCAAATACCAAAATATAGTTTCATTCCTCAGTAGTACGATTTAATGGGTTGGCCTCAGTAGTACGGTTCAATAGGCTGGCCTCAGCAATACGATTCAATGAGCTGGGCTCACCAGTGATAGGACTAAGTCCCCTTCCTTCAGTCCCTTTCGGGCGCTCTGCGGCTTCAGCATGAACTAAGAGATTCGTGTTCACGGAGAGGTTGGATTAGGTGATCAATCTAAACTGAGTTTACACTTGCGATTCTTCCTTCGTTGTTCTGCAAGTGAAGTCACCTCCAAATTGGGACAGTAAGTTACAGGTTTTTATTGAGTGAGCTGCCGTCAGTGGGCTCCTCCTACTCAACTTATCATAACTCCCAAATTTGGGCTCGGATCTTACTCAACAGAAATTACCTTTGAGCATTTTGGGGAGACTTCTTCCATATCACTGTAAATACCCTTTTCTTAGCAATTTGGTTAAAAGGCCTTAGGCTTTGATGTCTCGGAATTCAGGATATTTGCTTTCTTTGTAAAAGACTTCTAAAGATACAATTTAAGTTAAGGCTTTAAGTGAAGTCAAGACATTTTGCACGTAGCCTCAAAACAATGAGCTAGATAAGGAGATAAATCCTATCTTCTTCCTGAAACTGGCTAATGGGCAACCTTTACAAACATTCAAACTATTTCATTCAATATGACAGTGTACAAAGTGACGGTTAGCATATATAAACTGCTATTTTGAGAAATTTTTTTTCATATAATTTAAAACAGAAGCAAGATTAAACAAGAAGACAAAATATGGGGAAGAGTTCGGAAGAAGCTTTCTGATACGCTTAACCATATTATTATTCAGCATTCTAGCATGAAATTGAGAGCAGTGCCGTTTCCCACTTTGAGTGTGTTCTATAGTCAGTGGGCATGTTTACACAAAATGCTACATCGCTATAGCAATGAGCTACTGCGCCATAGTTCGTTGCTACAGCAACATAGCGTTGCTGTGCACAAACCGTGACAGCTATGCCACTGAGCAGTAGTAGCAATGAGATCGTTGCTACCGCGCAGTAGCAACTAAAAAGAACTGTACAGCAATGGGACCATACTGTAACACTGGTTACTGCACAATCATTCAGTACTTGCTTAAGCAAGTACTAAATGACTGCACAGTAACAACTGCGCAGCCTGCTAGTGTAGACACGGCCAGAAAGCATTAAATGAATCTGCAGTTAAAAAAATCAAAGAGAAATTTACAAGCTATATACCAATAATAGTATAATGATTTTTTTTCTCACTGTAACATAGACATATGCTTTAGAAAATGCTTAATTTGTAATGTAACTATATTATTTTATATACTTCATAATTGCTGACACAAATAGCTTTAAGAGCCATGTTTTGATCTTACTGCAAAAGCAAAATGTAAAACTAAACTGTTAATACCTTTATATTGATGAAGTGTAAAAGATATTTATCTTGCTTGACTTAAGAAGTTTATTATACAGTTAAGCCTAGATGCAAATGTATACTATAGGCATTGCCCTGCTCTGGGGATAATAATGAACAGTACTGTCTCAGACAAGTAGTAACCCTCTGTAACTTCTGGCACACAGAGAACAGCATACTCTTGGCATATGCAGCCAGGTTTACTGACAAAGCCCTCCTTTCCCCTCCTCCCTCCCCTCACAATCACTTACCAGTACCTTGAGCACCTATGGGAAAGCCAAGAGAAGCCAGCTGCTGCTTCTCAGGAGAACCTCAGGAATTTCTATTTTGTCTATTATGGTACAAAGATGCTGATCTCAACCTCACACCTTAATGAAGTAGCTAGATAAAATCTTGAATTTATTTCATCTTTAAAATGTCTTTTTTTACTAGCTTTTTATGTTATTTCAGCAAACATAAAGTTACACAACAAACATCTAATATACAGTGTTTCTAGCCAAATAAAAATTATTTCAGTGAAACTGCGGCTGTTTTCTATTACTGAAGTTCGAAAGGCACGTGCCTAACAGAACATCAAGAAACCTCCCCAGCTTGAGAAAGTTCCTTTAACTTTGCTCTCAAAGGGCACGTCCAGACAAGCATGGACATTTGGTTCTCCGGGGACAACTTGATTTGGTGTGCAGCAAGTTACCTCATGTGGGGTAGGGGAGGATGGGGCCAGTAACCTTACCTGGGGTCATGGGGGCCTCCCGGGCTGCAGCAGTGGCAATTCTGCCATGTGGAGCCTGGCCAACAGCTGCAGCGTGGCTCTGGGTGGCCCAGCATTGCTTTTGCCGCGCCTGTGCACGCACTGCTCCACTTTTTTTTCCCTTGGGTTCTTTTTGACCTCTGGATATTCAGGGGTCAAAAAAACTCACAGGAAAAAAAAGTGGAGCAGCACACACATGGGCAGTGCTCTGTTGTAGCACAGAGAACATCTGAATGTGTGATATGTGGCACTGCAGACATGTTTGCAGCACCGCATACCTCATGGCTGCACTCTTCTGGATGCAGCCAAATGGTTTATCTAGCATTAACTTGAACTAATGTTACTCTTGCTAGGATAATTACTCTTTTTTTCAATTTATTCATTGTTCAAACCTTAAGGATCTTAGCCCTTTTAAACTCTGCTCTCTGCTATTACACAGGGAAACAAAGTATCCTGACCTACAAAACAGTGAAAGTGCCCACTACAACTTGAAGTGAGTAACATGAAAATAACAAATGGCTTGGGAATTTAAAAACACTCAGCCATTTAAAAACACTAAGAGAAAGCTGAGTGCTTCATCAAGCACTCAGCAGCACCATGCCTTGGAGACTAGTTTATACATATCCTATTGGGGAAAAAAGTAGAATGAGTATGGGAAAGAAGGCATTCTGAGAGACAGAAGGAGGAAGAAGAAAAGACAGAATTCTAGTCCAGATAGTAAGCTTCCCATTATGTTGTCCTCTCTTCAATGGCCAACTTACTTTTAAGAGGAGAATTCATTAGATATAAATTAATCATGAAAAACACTGCTGACTGTTACTGTTGCAAACTTCAACTATTTTAATTTAATTAAGGCACCTATTGTAGTTTTACCTGTATTTTGGCAATATCGTAGTGTCCAGGTCCTGGAACATTAACATCTGTATTTTGAATAGTAAATGCTAAGTTTCGACTTGTCAAAGAAAGAAATGGAGCATAGCCATCTGCAAAAGGAATAAAAACACACACATTTGATACATACATCAGATTATTCTTCAGTAATCAAAACACTTGGTTCATCTCATTTTTCTACTCTACTAAAAAGACTAGATATATGTAAGGAATGATACATGCTTAAAAGTTTATTTTTAAAGAGTATTCTCAAAATCAGTCTATTTTGAACCTCACACTGCTAATGTAGATTGCCCTAAATCCTCAGGTCTCTGATTGTACTGTATAAATTCATAATTTTTAAGGCTGAAAGGGACATTATCATCATTTAGTCTAATCTTTTGTATAATACAGACCATAGAATTTCACTAAATGATTCCTGTATCAAGTCCTCTGATTTAAATGAGCTAGAAATGTATCCAATCTTTACTTGAGGACTGAAAGTTATGTAGAATACAGGAAAGAATTTATTCTTAAGATTTCTTGATTTTTAAAACATCCCATGAACTTCCTCCATTCCATTCCCTCACACATGCCATCTCTCTCTACAGAGGCCTCCTAATTCTTCATACAATATATCCAGTGTCAGTGAAGGGGCTGCCTCCTTCCCCACGGCTTTCATCTGAAACTCCCTTTAGTACCTCTACAGTTCACTTGTCTTTACGTCACTTCAGTTCTTAACCAAAAAGACCTTTCCTTCTTTACCATTATCTCTTAATTTTTCTCTACCACCAGCATTATTTATTTCTATAAAATGCTTTGAGATGCACTTTTATATAAAAGATAATCTAAAAATCTGCTCATATATTTCCTAGATGTTAAATACTGAAGGAACTATTATGATCTAATAGTTTGACCTACACCACACCCAGAGGTATTAAATAGTGAGGTTAGAAATGCATCAAATTACAGAAAAAATGCTTAAAACCATGTTAATTTCTCTGTAAATATAGTAATGCCTAATTACACTTTTATTTTCAGCTAGGGTTTGCTTTTAAGATTTTCACCTAGGGTTTTTGCTTTATTCAAATGCACTGCAGTCTCCCACTTCAGATTCATTAATTAGGCTCCCACTAGGTTTTTTTATTTCATTTCTGAGGCAATATAACATGGAGGATGAGCCAAAAAAGAAAGGAAAGGAAAATAGATACTGTATTGCTTTTCTTTACTTTTAATGCCCCTTGCTTGCATTCCTAACATTTTGTTAAGTAAGACCAAGAAAATGGCCTTGAAGGAATAAGACTGATTTGATTTTGAAGGAAATAAAACTGTATATTTAATTAATCTTTTTATAGATAAAATTAGGATATAAGGTTTTATCTAGTTGTAATTAACACACTTCTCAGCTTAATTTTTTTATGTTAGAGGCTGCACCTTGGATGAGCGCACCAAAAGCAATATAATGAATTTTGTACTTCTGGAATTACCTTCTGATGAGCCTACACTTGACTGTTACAAGAGAATATATCAACTCTGAAGCCACTTTGGTTTTTAATAGCTAGAGATATGCTGCTAGAACAGAGACTATTGTGCATATCTCCTTTAACGTCAAGTTATATCTGAGGTTTATACATCTGTCTCTAAGATAGCGTTAATTAGACTGGAAGAAGACCAATTCCGTAGCTACAGACAGCTTTCAAGATATGCATATTAAAAAAGAAAATTTGCCTGATATCCCCACATGTATATAGCCCCAGCTACAGAACTTTGCTCTTGATAAAAATGAAAAATCAAAACTATCCAGAGAGACTCGATCTCTTTTACTTGATACAAAAGGAATAAAAAATATTTCTATTAAAATATGTCAAAGCCCAGCTGCACACTGAATCCTACAAAAAAACTCACATTTGTGTTAAAGTGGAATAGAGAATTAGATGAGAGGTTTTTCTAAATTCAGGCCCATCATTTAAAAAAAAAAACTGTGGTATGTCTGCGGTTCCCACAGAACCTTGCACTGCAGGAATTGCAAGATTTGCTCCATACATCCTCTCCAAATTACAGTAGCAGCTCCTCTGACAGAATTCATTGTGCTTTTGCTTATAGGAGTTAATCTGTAAGGGAGAGCTCAAGAGAGCAACCCCAATTAGTTTACTGATTAAAATTATCATACTCAATAAGATATAGATCCGTATCTATCATGCAGAATGAGCGTAGAAATATGTGAACTAGTGCCCACAATTCACAGTTCAATTCTGTGAACTAGTTCAGAACTAGCAGAAGAAATCTAGTCCCAGCAGTGCTCAGCTCAACATAGACCATTACCCTGCCAAGAAGTAGTCGGCCATGCAGACACATCTATGAGTTATGTGCTACGAATTGAAAAGGAGTGAGCTGCGCACAACTGCAGCTCTGTGACGGAGACAGCTCAACACAGTTTTAATACCACCTCTATTTATACCCCATTTATTAACACCTTATAGAACATATTTTTTTTACCTGAAACCTCAGGCCTCTTTTTCCATCCTACTCTACATCTCTTAAAGATAGCAAATTACAAAGACATTTTCACAACTTCACAATATCCTATTCTGTAGAGACGTCCTGAACAAGGCTATATATAAATTCTGACTTTCTGCCATCAGTACAGTGTGTGTGACAGCTCAACTATGGACACGTTTCCCCAGAAGAACTTAGGGTGACTGTAAAGTGTTCTGGGAATAGAGGTCACATAACTCCACATACGTAGAGGGTAGAAGTTTATTTTTATTCTTACAGCTGTATGAATACTTTCAATGAATACATAGAGGCATACAAAGCTGGTTAGCACAGGGCTAGCAGTCTCAGCCTTCTTTACACTTGAGCTGCGCCCGCCCCTCCCAAACAGATCAGAGGCACCTTTCAGAAAACGCCGGCACGGAGGATCCACCTGATTTTTGCTTCCAGAAAAAACAGCGGGGCGATTCCTTGGGGGCAGACAACTGTGCCAGGCCAAATGCTTCGGAAAGCCACCAGCTCCTCTCTGAAACGGCTGGCTTTACCCATCAGGTCGTCACCCTGTCTGAGTCTATTCCGGGAGGTTTCATCACATGATGTAATGACCTTAACGACCCGAGGTCAGGAGCAACAGCACATGACTATTACATTTGAGAAACCTGCCAGATTACTGCATAAACCCGAGTCGACTTTTAATATTTCTTTGAATGAATGCCCTATCACGTATCTCCCGGATGACTCTCCACAGTCTCCTGGTGATTTACAGCTAATTCCTGGAGACTCCAGGAGGGTTGGCAACCCTATTTACCCCAGGGCCCACGCAGCACAACCCTCACACTGCCTGGGGGGAGATGCCCGGGGTGCACCGTCCTAGTAGAGAAGCCCTGGCAGGCGGGCGCCCACAACCTCGTGGGTCCACGGGCCGGATCCACGTGGGCCCGGGCTGTGGGTGCCCCGCGCAG